TAAAGAATTTTTTTGTTTTTAAAATGTCTTATGAAAATTACAAAAAAATACTTTATTTTGTTTAAAATAGTTTTTTTATATACATATATTCATATACCTTTAAATATATTTTGTTGAGTACAAATATTTATGTTTAATTTAAATAACTTCGTTTCGCTTCCAAAAAACCAATTAAAAAAAAAAAAAACAAAAAAAAAGAAAATTAAAAAGTATGTAGTTATATAAGCTTAATTTTAGTAACAAAGAAAATGAAATAAATTCATTTTATTTATACTAAAGGCTTTAGAACAAATATAATGTTTAAAATAAAATCTTTGTTTTGCTTTAAATATGTATGTATGTAGGTATTGTTTGTAGCATTAAATTAAAAGGTACAAGTGAATCAAACATAGCAATATTTTAAAATAAAATTTTTATAAATAATGTGTATGTATGTATATGAGTTTTAGAAATTTTATTATTATAAAATTAATTTATAATAAAATTTTTAAGAAAAAATATTTATTAATAAAATAAAATTTAAAATATTTTAACAAGTTTTTGTATAAAAAGAATTATTAGTAACTTCTTCCAAATAACTTTATTTCTAATTCGTGTTGTGCAATTTTTAGCATAATGGTGAAAGAAAAGTTTTGTTTATATTATTTTTTGTTAAATATATGATAAAAGATATTTAACTGAAGTCTCCGATTTTCTGTTAGACGTATCGCTTGAGATGATGAGATATTATATAATAATATTGAGGATTTCAGTACAATATTTCAAATTCAAAAACCATTTTCTTTTGAATATGACAAAATTTCTTATTATCCTATCACTTCAATGATTCGTCACACAGAAAATAGGTGCATTTCTGAAACATTGACTTTAAAAAAAAAATTCTGAGGGAAATATCTGTATATTTTGTTCGTAATAAATCAAATTGTTTAAATAATTTTCTCTATTTATGATATTTTTTTTTTTCCTTTAAAATACTATAGTTAAAATTTTTACAATCCTTTTTTTTATCAAATATTAGAAATGTCATTAAATTATATATTGTTGGTATATATTACACTATATAGGGTATTTGATTTTTAAATTAAAAAACATTCTTGAAAAATTACATATTTTTTAATATGTTGACTTAATAATAACGAAATTTTATAGTGATAGTGCTAAAAAATCTTATCGCATTTTCAATTATTAATGTTGTATACATATATTGATTTTCATTAGCTTTTAAAAAAAAGTGTTTATTTGATTACGTTTTGTAAAATTACTTCTTGTAGTAATTATTCATATTATATTTCTTGTTGAATATTGTTCAAAATTTTTATAATTTACTCTAATAATTATTATAATTGTTAAAAATATTCACTTGCGCCTTTTAAGATGATAATTGCAATTGAAAACGAAATCATAATCTCATTTAAATCTAACATAATGTAGTCATTGGAAATCATTCAGTTCATATTGAACTCAATAACTTAATTTTGTAATATTTTTGATTTATTGATTTGTTTCTCATGCTTTTATTTTTCTGTTTCAATTAAATATAATTTAGATTCTATTTTAACTATAAATATATACAAAATTTTGGAAAATTGAGTTTTTGTCTTTTGTTAATCCACATTTCTTACAGTTATATTTTTTTACTTTTCTTAATCATTTGAACATTTCAATAAGTGAAATTATTGAAATAGATACGTTAAAAGCTGATTGAAGCAATAACGATAGTAAGAAACTTTTCAGAAATGTTGTCAAAGCATTTTAATTGTTGACATATTTGATTTCGTAGCTGTTTCTTTGCAATATAAAACTTACATTAATATTAAAACATAAAATATTAAATTTTAAATTAATTTTAAACTTTTTAATATTAAAATATAAAATTTCATATCATTTATATAATAAAACAAAAAAAAAAAATTATTAAAAAACTTAAACAAATTAAATTAAAAATCTTTAAAACTTTTAAATTGAAAAATATAATGTAAAATTTTATTTTAATAAAATTAATTGTAGGTATTTAAAATTAAAAATAATATCAAATCTTTTTTTTTCATGTGCAAAACTTGTTAATAGTGTCTTTGTATATATTGTAATTTTCATTTAAAAAAGTTAATCGAGAATGTGTTTTTGTTTTATTTTGTATAAGTTTTGTAAACATACATATATTATATTTAACTATATAAAAACAAAATCGAATAACTAAATTTTAATATAATTAAATTAAATATACATAATATGTATTATTCATAAATGCATATATTTTTTGTACTGTAATTTTATTACCTTTATTTTTTATTTTCTAAAAAAAGAAATAAATATTCATAAATGCAAAAAAAAAGAAGACATTTAAAAATAAAACAAAATAGTAAAAACATTCATGTTGTTTATTTTTCCAAAACATTTTAAGAGTTAGCTTAACAAGATACTATAGGGAGGTCGTAGTTTCGCTGGTTGGACCAACTGGAACAGGCAAGTACAATTTCATTTTTTAGAGCTCTGTTGCTTTCAAACTGTGTTTTCGCATAGAAAACATCAAACTAATTTAGAACCAATTTATCTGGGCAATCAACAAATTTTTGTCTAGTTGACAACAATTAACTGCGATTTCTTATTATACTGAATAATGTTCAATTGATTTCAATTACATAATTTTTTTCTCAATTAGAATTTTTAAGCTAGCGTGTAAAATAATTGTAATTTTTTTTTAAGCTAAAAAACAAACACTAATAATCATCCATTGATTATCCTTTTTGATTGTGATCAATATTATGTATATAAAAAATAATAAAAAAACACTGTCTAAAAGTTTCGATAAATTTTTTTATTTTTTCGTATGAATAGGTTAGAATAGATTTTATTGTTTTTTTTTTAATATTTTTTTTTTTAAAGTAATTTTTAGCCATTCATATCTGTTTTATAAATCTTATAACATTCAATGTTACATAAAGTAATTTTTTGGGTTTTTACTCTTATACAATTTATATTTTATATTTTAAAGTTATTTTCTTTATAAAATTATTATATTATATAAGTATTTTAATACTGCTGTTATCAATATTTTTATTGAGAATATTATAAAATTAATACTGCGTTATTATAATGTTCTAATTGTTAACTAGGTTTATTCTAAGAACTTCTTTAGTTGTTTTTCAGATATAAATTGAAAAATTTTTTTGTATTCTGATAGGATATCATTACAATGTTTGAGAGCATTTTTTAGTTACGTTAAATATTCAATAATTTAATTAAATATTCAATTAATAACTTTCTTTTGTGATAGGATAATACAGCGAAATATAGCGAAAATGTATCGTTCATTAGAATAACCCCATTTTAATACTCTTATAATGTTATATTATAATTGGATATTAGAATTTCAAATATGGCGAATTAAGAAATGAAAAAAGCAAAATGATCATTAAAGTTATTATAATCAGTATTAGTAGGTTAAAATACACTGGTTCCTCGAAATACGACACGATATTATTTTCGATTTAGAGTATAAATTTCGGGTTACGACATTGAAAAATTTTGCTGCAGTTTTACTATTTATTGACTTAAAACATAAATCTACTAAAAAGCTATTTTACATAAGACAACTTTAAAGAAAAACTTATTGAAGAAGTCATTTAAAATATGGAACAATTTTTAATGAACATTTTCCTACTTATATTCTTATATACTTGTAATTGCAATTTGAAAACACTCCATATATTCTTAATGAATTGGTAAATGTTAGAAAATTATATAACTTTTTTTCTTTATTATATTTTTTATATATTATCGATTTTATACCTATCCAGTTTTTGTTTATTTTTTAATTAATATAGATTAAAAAGCTTTTTTTGTTTTCATATACTTTTTTTTTCTGCAACAATTTGACCTACGACATAAATTTTGGCTACCTAAAATGTCATATCTCGAGGAATTAGCGCGATTGTTTTTATTCTGAGAAACGAATCACTGAGTCATAGCGATATTTATCGTAAAAATTTAAATATACATTTTGTATTGTAGACACAAATCTTTTGTAAGTTACTCGTTTTTTGTTTTCAGTAATGATATTCATCATTTTACGATAAATGTTAGGATTACTTAGTGGTCCGATTCTCGGATTTAACACCATTATATGACGGTATATTTAAACAAATATTTTATGAGTTTATAAAATTTAAAATTTTTTATTGATTAGATTCATAAAATAGATATTAGACGGATTATAGATCAATATGTATTTGATTAACTTTAATGAAAATCCAGCTTATTCCTATAAAATTGATTAAATTCTACTAATATAACGTCGTTAAAGCGACTAGATTTTGATTTAATTATGTTTAAAATTAGATTGAAAACAAAACTTTCTTAAAATTATAAATACATGTATGTAATTTATTTGAAGGATTAGATTCCATAACATTTATTAATTCGTAATTAGATAAATCATCTAATTAAATATTTGAAGAAAGTTTCGATTTGAATTCGTTGGAAATTTTGGTTGGGTTTAATATTGGCAACGGTTTTAAATTTTTTAAACGATGTTTCTGGACTAAAATCCTTCAATTATAAGGCATAAAAATGTGTTTCATTTAATATAGCTTTACTTAAAATTAGCTTTTAAATAGAAAATGGTATCTTACAATTTATTTCTCTTTTAAATATATTTTTTTATATTAACATATTATATTTTTGGCCTATGCAAGGCTTCTGAACAGATTTATACATATATTGTTTCAAATTGTAACATAAACTTTTTGATTAAAATTAATTAAAGATTGAATATTTTGAATGGATGTAAACGATTGAAAAGTTTTGAGATTCTTTTATACATAATTGATTTGAATTTTATTCTAAAAAAAATTTTTCCTATTTTTTTAGAATAATTTCTTATAAAAAAAAATTGACTAAATTTCTTTAGTAATTTAATTTTCATTTCAAAAATTTTTTTCATAACATGCATTTGCTTTATTTATCTTAAATGTAAGCTTTATTCGTATAATAAAATTAATAAAATCACAATTTTTATTTATGTATGTATGTATGTTTGTTTCAACTTTAAATTACTTTTTATTTCAATAACAGAATCCTTTGTTATAATTTAATGTTTAAATTTTACATTCATACGGAGTTTATGTATTTTAATAAGTATTGATTTTTGTTATCACCTATACTAAATTATTAATATTTTTATTTTAAATGCGTCATAAAAATGTTTTTTTTTGTATTATTTTTATTTATCTTTTAATTTTGGAGTTACAAAAAAGGAAATTTAATCAACTTTGTTATTTTTAAAAATACTAACTATTATTACTTATTTTAATATTTAATTGTGACTAATTAAGTATGATTCGTTATAAGATTGCAGACTTCGCGATTCAAATCAATTGCCTGTTTCCTTAATTTTTGTACCTTCAAATGAAATTGTTTTTCATCTTTATTAGGAAAACAAATTTATGCAAGTTACCTTTGCTTTGAGCTCTTTTTCAGTACTAATAATCTGTAATATTTGACCGTTTGTATTGTTGGCATTATTTTGATCAATTACCCATCGTAAATACAAATCTAAAGCAAAAATAAATATGTAAGTGTACATTCAAATACTACGATGTTACAATATAAAAGTGTCGTTATATTGCAAACTCTTATATAATTAAATTCATCTGATTTTTATTTTTTATATACGTACCACTCCATAATTCAAAACTTATTGGTGCAACTGAAGGCCATATTACATTTGGATTTGGTTCATACGTAGGATTTAAATGGGTTTTTAATATATCCGGACGATTTAAGTATGACCATAAACTGGTTGTGCGTTTTTGAATATTTAAATCTACTCTTTCTTTTTCCGAATCCATTAAAAAAGTACCATATTGACTAAAATAGCTATGTTCAAAAAGTAAAATTAATAGACTCGTATTGAATTCAAAACTACAAGGAAATTGACAAAACAGTTGATAGATGCAATCCAAAAATAATATAAAACTTGCACCAGCCGATTTTGGACGATTTTGTGTTGCAGTGTAACAGGAATATTTGTGTCTCGTTGTAAACGGGTGCCCACCTTGAACCCATTCCCGTTCTATTAAAGCTTGAAGACTGAAAGTACAAATATTCAAATATTTTAATTAATCTCTGTGTCATATATTCATATATGTTTTTTATTATTACCCTCTTAAAGTTCTGCAATCAGGATTTAATATGATTTGTACTAAAGATGTTACTATAAGAGCCGAATCGACCCCTTTTAAACCATGAACCAATACAGGGGAACCTTCTTGATCTAAACATTGAGCAACGACACAGGCAGCATTTAAGGAATTTAATACTAAACTAAGCCAACCAGAATTTTCTAGTCTAGAGAGCCACTTATCGGACGAACAATGGATATCACTACAAGCTAAAAACAATTTTTATTGATTTATTTAATAAATTAAACAGTTTAAGAAGGCATTGGCTCGAACTTTACTAATTACCTTCAACTAATTTGGAAAAACTATCTAAAATGGATGAAGGGGTTGAAACGTTTCCGATTGCACGATTAACTTTCTTCCATTGAGGATAATGTTGATCAGTTTCAGTATTAGATTTGCCTTTACCCCATGTATCAACAATAAATCCCTTCTTACTATTTCCTAGTACTGTATTTAAAATTGCTTCATCAGCTCTACATCTTTTAAGGCCCCCATGTTGAGCTGGTTGAGAACTTCTAAGTAATGTCGCACCATTTTCATGACGATAACTTAATATTGGAAACCGGCCTCCATCACGAAAACTGGCTGATTGTATAATTTGATCATCTGTTATGGTTTTCGGCACGACAACTGTAGCACCGTATGTAGAACAAACTTTGTAATCTTTGTTTACATTTGAAACTCTCCATTCATCAGTTGCTATAAGTTTTGAAAACTCTATTTCGGGACTAGAAAAACCATAATTATTAAAATTATTAAATTGAACTAAACAATTAATAGCACCTAAACATTAGATAACCATCTTCCAGGATTGTATACATTGGTCTATAAAAGAAAGGGTATTCAGATTCTAGGCTGATTTTTGATAGTTGTTCTAGTGAATTTGCCACATTAAAAAATTCTTTAGAATATTTTATTTCTAGTGAGATAACTCGTAAATCTTTACATTTCAACGTCAGAACACCTCCCATTACTGTATTGTTTATCATAAATGGTTTTCTCTCGACACAATCGATATTTTTGTGCAGTAACCATAATTCTTGAGTGTTTTCTTGACGAGAGCTAAGAATAAGATGATGTCCTAGAAAAAGATGTAATAAACCAAAATTTAAATAACAAATTGATTTTTTCCAACTGTTAGCAATGAAGAAAAAGAACAAGGTATAACATGCACATACATACTTATTTTAACCACCTGTATATATTTATTAAATTGCCAATTTACCTGTAATAACTAAAGTTCCTTCAATAGTAACATGTGTGTGGTCATGTAGAAATACTCCATCTAATTTTGGTGTTGAAATCAGTTCTACAAATTCCATTATTAACTAAAAAAGAAAAAATAAAACTAAAAAAATTATAATTAGTTTAGCTCAGCTCCATTGTAAAACAAAAGAATGAAAAAAACTGATTGTGATAACATTTCAAAATGACATTTTATATTTTTGACATAAAACTTGTAACAATTTTTGTTCTTTTCCTTACAGTGCTGTAGTTTGTTTGAATTAATTTGCAGTAAAATTTTGCTAGTATTTTTTTTTAAATCTATTTTTATATACATATGTATGTACAATTATGAACGGAAGTTAAATCTAGGTACCTCTTAGGTACTGTTTAAATATTTGGTTTAAATATTCGACAAAGTCTAAGGTGCCCATTACACACCAGGCTAAATCTATGATTTAATCTACGATAAAATCTAATGAGCCAGACTTTGACAGAAAAATTTTAAATATTAAAAAAAAAATCAGCTTATCGTGACTGATATCGTAGTGAATTATAGATTGAGCCTCCTAAGATTAAATCTAAGATTAATTAACGAATCACAATCTTCACACAAAAATTTAAAAATTTGCTACGAAAACACGAAAATTATAATTCAAGTAAGCAAGATTTTTTGATTGACCTGAATTCAAAAGTATTTTGGGCAGCAGTTTTTAAATGGTTAAAATAGTTTTCTTTTAAATTAATTTGACAATTACTATCGAATGATTTAATAGTTTTAGTCGATGGTTCCCACCTCTAAATCAACTTTTTTTTATTGTTGTTAATTTGATAAGACGTTGCTTTGCTTCTCTTTCTGCTGACATTTAATGTATAATTTTGTTTTGCTTTGCATTTTTGTATTTGATGTTTAGTTGTGTTTTAATTTAAAGACTACAATATATTTTAAATAATAAAAAAAATATAGCATTTTTATAATATTAATATACATAATTATATTATCATATACTCGACATTATTATATCGAGGCATATTCATCTTGTTCTCTATTAAAAAATTGCAGAATGTCGTCAATACAGTTTCCTGAAAAAAAAGAGAATCCGCTGGTGTATTTGGATATCAAAATTGGAAGTGAGCGAGGTAAAAATAATTGAATGATTTTGAAAAGGTTGCATTTGATAATAAAGTTAAAAATTAAAACAAATAAGTAATTATCTTTAATACCAAAATAACATGTCTTTTTTTGTAGTTGGCAGGATGATAATAGAATTGAGAAAAGATGTTGTTCCAATTAGTGCAGAAAATTTTAGAGCCTTATGTACTGGTGAAAAAGGTATTGGACAGCTGGGCAAGCCATTGCATTATAAAGGCACAAAATTTCACAGAGTTCAAAGAGTTTTTATGGCACAAGGCGGTGATATTGTAAAGAACGATGGCTCCTGTGGAGAAAGCATTTATGGCCCTATTTTTAATGATGAAAACTTCTTTTTGCCTGTAGAAATATATTTGATTAATGAAACTCAATAATTAATTTTAATTAATTTTAGCACACAGAAGGGGTGGTAAGCATGGCAAATTATGGCAAACCAAATACAAATAATTCGCAATTTTTTATCACCTCTGTTGATTGCTCTCACTTGAATGGCACAAATGTTGTAATTGGCCATGTGTTAAGGGGATTTGGAATATTAAACGAAATGGAGGAGTACGCTACCGACGAGGGAAGAGTTCTTAAGGTTTTTTTGTAAAGCTAGCAATCAAATAATATTTTTAAATAATAAATCTATAGGATATTGTTATAGAAGATTGTGGTCAATTAAATAACGAGGAAGATTGGGGTTTTTATGATAAAGATGAGACCGCTGACACTTTGCCTCCTTTTCCCAGTGATTGGGATAAAATCGATGACGAATATAGTGTAAGAATAATATTTTAATAAATAAATTTTTCTTTTAAATAAATTACATCATGTATTTAATTATTTGTATACGTATGTAAAAATTTGAACTTTTCAGGAACGAGAAATGATGAATATATTAACTGGAATTCGAAAGTCTGGCAATTATTTTTTTGCAAGGAAAAAATTTGGAGAAGCTTATCGTAAATACAAAAAGACACAAAGATATCATAACTATTTTCTGAATCGAAAACGTCACAAAATAAATACAAATGATTTCCAATTATTTAATTCCATCAACTGTGCTAATATGGCTGCAACACAATTAAAACTAGGAGAATACGCTTTAGCGAAAAGTTTAGCCACTGAAACATTAAAAATAGATCCAACTAATAGCAAAGCTTACTTCAGGAGGGGCCAAGCAAATATACACTTGAGGAATTACGAAGAAGCCATAGAAGACTTAAAAGAAGCCAATAAATTAGTGCGCGAAAATGAGACTATACTGAATGAATTTAACAAGGCAAAAAAACTTTTAATGGAGTACAACAGTACTCAAAAGATGGCGTTGAAAAATCTTTTTAAATAGATATGTATCAAGAAATATTTCGTTGAGAAATTTTTCTAACTTCGGTAATTTTTATAATAAGAGCTCATAAATTGATTAATTTATAAATAACAATAAGTTTTTAGAACAACTTGTTTAATATAATTAGGTGTTGTATTTAAAAAATAATGTTACTATTTAACATATTGTACCTCAGTCAAACAAAAATTTTTTAATATTCTTTAACACATATGTATGTATGTGTAATTGAATTCGTTTTAACAAAAACAAAAAGTTGTAATTATACAAATAACAAATTTGTTGCATTAACCTTGAATCTACCAGCTTGTGCCGGTGATCTACAAATTACATCAAAAACCAATGTCTTCAATTTGTGTTTTGAAATTCAAATAGAAATTGAATTTGAAAAATTGGATTTAAAATAATAATCATGCATATATGTATATAATACTCTAATTATTGATAAAAAGTTTTTAACAAATAGTTCAGCTATTTTCTTTTAAGTTTTAAATTCAAAAGTACATATATGTATATATATTTATTCAAAATACAAATTTATATTTTTACACATCTTTTCTATACAATTCGCTCTTTTACTATATATATATATATATATATATATATATACATATTTTTTTTAATTAGATTTTTTATGAACACTTAATTTTTTTTATTATTTAATTTTAACATCGTATGTTGTATTCTTTCAAATATTATGAATAAGTATTTCTTAAGCTGGTTGAATTATAATATACATAATATCTATGTACTTTAATTTTGTTAATTTGTTAAAATAAAAAAAAATTTAAACTAAGTTTATAAAAAATATTGTTAATTTTTAAAAAATTAGTAAAATGTGTAATATTTAAGCAAAACGCTTTATTTTTAATTTATGAAATGTACTCAATTTTGCCACATTAATTTTTAGAAATACATTTTGAGTTCAATTATAGTAATCAAAACGTTTATAATAAAGTAATTAAAACAATTAAAAGTTTCTTAACTTATTATATTAATGTTAAATACAATCTCTTGTATAAATTAAACTATTTAACAGTTAGTATTTTATTTATTTAACAGTTCAAAATAGCTTAACAGCTATTCTAAAATAATTTATTTATATGTATATTAATAATTTATTGACATAGCGGTGGAAGTTCACCTTTTTCATTACTACTCCATTGAAATTGTATCATTACCAATTCAAATGTCACAATAGTACCAAGCATCTAAAATATTTAAGTATTTAGTTATAAACCTGTAATGGTAAATAAGTAATGGTTGATTTATTACGGAGAGTAATAGTTTTCTAGTAAAATAAAAAAATCCCATCCCAGAAAGTGCAATCATTTCATATTTTATTTGATGACAAAATCGATCAATCTTAAAATATAATAAAAATACAAATTTTTTTGTATAACGCTCATAATAATTATCTGTAACCTCATAGCTAGTTTTTTGGATCAGTTGAAATAGTTCATATGGGACTCTAGATGATTCATAAATATTGGCTGCCACTATAAACAGAAATATTGTTCTTCCTAGGAGGTATAGGGTTGAATACCAATAATAGATATAATTTACAGTATATCGAAGAGTTCTGAAATAATTATTACTTTAATTACATATATATTTTTCTTTAGATTCGATTTATGGCACAATTTATTTTAATTTAAACAAAAGAAAATTACTTGAAAACATTCATGAGCTGATAGCATATAAAATAAAGATTATTAAAGCAAGACAGCAGTATTATAAAAGACAATTCATCATCAATATACTTTAAAAGATCGCATAATTGAATAAAATCCAAGCGTACTTTTTCAAAAAATATGTCGTCCTGGACTTCCTGTAATAATTTTTGAAAGAACATACATACATATTATGTAAACAATACTGTATAATGTAAAACAGAATATTGTTAAAAAGCATATTTGGTATTAAAAAATCTTACAATGGTTTCAATTGTTTTCTGAAGATACTTATTCAATTGTTGAAAACGAAAATTTATTCCAATGCTTACTAAAATTATAAACATATCCATAAAATTCCATATTACTGTACTTATAAAGCTGCATATCTAAAAAAATGTTGTTAGTATTACCTACATTCAAATTTTCAGTTCGGGGTTTTAGATAGTTATAAAATGAGTGTTTATGGAACAGTCTTATAATGTAATTTTAATTAAGAAGAATGATTTTGTGTATTAGTAATCTTCTTTTTTTCCAAACGAACTATGTATGGAAAAATTGCATGTTTAGGTAATATAACTTAAATGGGAAAATTAAATAATCTTAGTGTACCCTAATGCATGTACATACGTATTAATATTTTTGGATATTATAAAATGAAAATTTTTATAATTTCTAAAAATATAAAAGGAATACAAAATACAAAATAAAATTTTGTACCTTTTTTAAAAAATTTTATCGAGTTCTAATATAATATGGATATTAAAATATATAAAATTATAGGGTTATTAAAATCTTTTAAATAAATTTAACTAATTTTTAATGATTAGTACTTTTAAATTTCGAAATTCAATTTTAACCCGTAATTACAATTACATTTCTGATATATGAAACGTTATGCATATACCTTTGTACTTTGAACATAACATGTATTCATAATATAAAAATGGATAGTGTTACGTTAAATGTAATATTGCATCTGTGCATATATGTAGGCGTAACAATAACCTTAGGGAAATAAAGCTACAATATGAAAAAACACCATGAATAAAACATGAATAAAATATGAAAAGTAAAACTGTACGTATACTACACCTTCTACTTAAAACTCTTCAACATATTATGAAAAAATAATGTACATGTATGTCAATATACGAAAAAATTGATTTATGCCGCTTAAAAATATTGTTCATGCTGCTACTGATTTGATGTTTTCTAAGTTTCTGTTTAGGCTTGTTAAAATATGCTGTGCATTTTTTAATTAAATTATTTAAAGTATGTATTTAAATACATATACATATTTTGTCATAAAAATGTTTTTAATCGTAATCACATTATACTCACGTGAGTCATAATACCAATTGTAATATGATATGGGAAAAAATCAAAGATGAAGCTTCTATCAGTTAAATAATAATATTCTACAATATTATCAGTGTGAATGTTACATGTTTTAATACGATCAAAAAAAGCGTACATTGTTGAAGCTTGAAACATACCATGCTCAACTATTTAATAAGATAAATATAATAAAAATAAAAATTTACATATACATACATGTAAAAATTTCATTTTCATTTTTTCAGTCTCATTTAGAAAACTTTCTCTTTCGTACCGAATCCTAAAGTTGCTATTAAAAATGCTGTCCAAAATATTTGCCGCTTCATTTTTTTCCCATCATTCTGCAAATGATACGGTTTCCTAAGAAATTTAAATTCGTACTTAAACCATTTTTTAATAATTTTTGGCCATTTTTTAGCTAAAACTATAAAAGAAACCAAACTTGTAAAGCTCACTGTAAAAAATACCATTGTAACTGGAAATATACAATTAGTACATATTTTTGATCACATGCATATATTAAATATTTCATAAATATATTAATAAAAATGTATGTGTAATAGTATACATATATTTATTTTAACATTAATAACTTACCTAAATTATCAACTTGTAAACCAAATCTTTGAAAATATTTTACATATAACATCATAATAATTAAATTTGATATTAATACAATAACACTAAATATCATTTGTGGTGATAAAAATTTAAATTTTAAATTTTCAATTGATGATGGCGATTTTAAACCTTGTAAAGGCATTACACCAAAAAATTGGGCGCAGAAAATCACTTTATTTGGTTACCAAATGAAACAAAAACAACGACAAAAAAAAAGTACGAAATTTAGTAAATAAACATAAAATCTTTAAAAAAAAATTATTCAAAGTTTGTGGAAAAATTTGTATTTACATACATACATAATATCTTGTGTTTAGTGTGTTCTCATGTTGTTGCTTTCAGGACTTGTCGAAGTGTGAAAATGAATGTACTTACATATAATATTTGTACAAATTGACTCATTGAAATATGTATGTTCCCATTTGGTTTTAATCAAAACTTGATTCTAAACATGAGGTACATATTTCTGTAAGTACATGCGTAAATATAATAACCTATTTTGAAAAATTGGGTATACATATTTGGGTTTATTGAAAGTATTATATACATATGAATAATAAAAGTGTGACTGTAGGAAAGACTTTGGAAAGAACAGCGTTCGGTACTCTTCTATGTTGATGGTAGTAAAGAAATATTGATGCTTATATTGCAACCACCACAATTCAATGCAAACAAATTCTATTTAATATCTATGTATATCTAAACGTCCATTTGTCTCTTTACATTATGTAATTGTACAAATTTATTTCACAAATTGAAATTTTGCAAAATAAAAGCAAAAAATTTTTTTTGTAAGATTTAAAAATACCTGGAGCAATTGCAGTATGAAATGAATTTTTTCCATAAATCTCCATTTCATTCTTTATGCAAATACCAATATTTTTTTTAATTGGTTTAACTTCCACATAGCTTTTCATCCTTTTTTTTTTATAAAATTTTAAAAAATGTTCAAATTTTCTATTTTGTAAACGTTTTCTTATTTATCGACTGTTATTTAGTAAGGTAAATTTTTCTAATAAAACCCAATGTGTTTCGTATCTTTCACTTTCACAAAATGACCAAAAAATTTGTTTCTCTATTAAAGCTAATTTTTTGTTTTTACTTACATTTTTCTTTTGTTTTTTTTTTACCTGACATGGAAAAAAATAAAGTGAAGTTTATTAATGAAAGAACTGTAAATTCAAAAGAATTATTGTTATGACAAGGTAGATAATATTTGTACATCGATATTTGACATTGTCTGTACCTTTACCTGGACATTAAAGTATCGGAAAAGTGAATTTTCTATTTTATTGTTTTCTGTTTTTTCTTTATTTTAAGTATAATAGAAATTAATTACTGGTTTGGAAGCTAATTTTAGGGATATCATTAAATTATAATATGTTTGTGTGCGCTCAAAATGTTATATAAAAGCAAAATCTTTGTCAACTCATCTAATTTTAAAAAAATATCTAGGTAAGTAATTTTATACGTAAACTTGATAGCTTAATAATAGCTTGAATAATATTCGGAAAAATTAAAATTTCTGTTTAAATTTTCGTACACATATTACTGGTTATAAATATTTAAATGCTAAAAACAATTAAAGAATATTAGTTAATTCTTACAACCCCATTTATTTCACACCATTCTTTTTATAAATTAAAATATTTTCGATTACTCATGTTTACAATTCATGTAATTGCAGTTTTATCTTCCAAAAGGAATGTGAGTACATTTTCTTAAATATAACGCGTTTCTTATTATGAATGCTTATTTTATCAATTCAGTTAAAAATTTCTCCGGGTGTTGATGTATTATTCTTTTATACATAGATGGGTGAGTTACGCCATTATGATTAATGTTTTTACAATTCTGAATATTACTAATATAATTTCAAAATAATATTTAAGTTGTTTTTTTTTTAGAACATTGTAACAAAATATATAATCTGTAAGATGTATAATGTATATTTTATTATTATGATGATTACATTTTTTAATAAAAGATTTAATAAAAATTATAGTTGAACATTGAATTTTAATGCGATGTTTTTGCTTTATTATTAGCCAAAATTTCCTTAAATAATGATTTCAACTCATCAGCACCATCTTGATTGGATTCTTTGTAATATGGTAATTTCGATAACCGTTCCATCCATGCCACAACTTTAGGATATTTTGAAGAATCCATTGGCGCAACTTCATTGACCGAAGTAATAGTTGCAATACAACAAAAGTCCGCAATTGTTAAATCATCTCCACAGAGATAATCATGTTCCTTAAGGAATCCTTCCATTATATCATAACATTTTTGAATATAAGCAATTTTATCAATTGAACAGTCTAAAAATAAAAGAAAATCATTCGAAATACTCGTAATCATAACATTACAGAAAATTATAGTTGTTCAATAACTTACCAGTAGAACCATAATATAAAATTGGTTCGTATAAAAATCTTAATCTCGCAAATAAATGACCAGAATCAAAATGTAATCTTGCATCAACTTGACTTCTTTTTATTAAATCTTTTGGATAAAGTTTATCATTTTTACCATATTTTTCAACTAAATATGAACATATTGCATGACTATCATATATAATAACCCCGTTATCATCTAATGTGGGTATTGTATGTTGTGGATTCATTTTTATGAATTCTGGTGTTAAATGTTCACCTTTCAATAAATTAATCGCGCTAAAAACATAGTAAAATATTAAATATTATAAAAACAAAATTAAAAAAAAATAATAATAAGTTTTTATTTATATACGTATACAATTATACATATAATACAATTTTATTTACGTACTGTAGATCTAATTCTAGACCAATCTCTTTAGCTGTTAACAAAACAGCTCTTGATGGTGGACTTAAAGTCGCATAATAAAGTAAGGGTTTGACCATCTAAAAAATATAATATTAAATTAAAGTTTCAGATGTGATTATCATATAAATATACGCATTAGCTTTATAAATTTTTCAAATATATAATTTCTTAATTAATGGATTTTATATTAGGTATGCATACATATGTATATATTTTCTCCTAACTTAAAAAATAAATAAGTTTATATCTTAAAACTTAACTCTGAGGCAAAAGGACGGTGTATATTCAATTAATTCTGTATAACATATGAAATTTTTTTTTCAAGGAAGAATTCAGCTACGCATTATGCAGCTATATGATTTTTAAAACTAGCGTCCTAAATAAGTTACTGTAAAATAACACCTTTTGTGGGATTTTTATATAGCGAAGTAATATGTTTCGAAAAATCATTGTAATCTAATAACTGAATTTGAAACTTTTTGTTGTTCGGATTTTTAAGTACAAAGATACTTATTTATATTTTAAAGATAAACACACAAACAAATAATAATTATCATTTTCAACATATGATTTCATATTTGTAATTTTATATGTACATTTTCTTATAGTTTTAATATATTTGATTATGCTTATCTATACAAAATAGCATGTGTGTATGTATATTGTTTGTTTACAATTTATTTTCGGTTTTTTTCTATATATTATAATATTCTTATGTATACCTCCATAATAGTAACAGGTTAAGTATATACATTATGTATGTGTACCAATTTGTTTGTTTTATAATTATTTTATTGTGTTCATATTTCGATTTTTGTCTACAATTTCTACAATAAGTAATTCTAAAATGGATGCATGTACATAACAATATATATATATTATATACATATATATCTATTATACTTGCAATTGTGTGTACAAATTTAACAATATTATTGTAGTACAATTTATATTTAAGTAAATTGTTCACATTATGTAAGCTATATACCTATAATACGAAAAATCTACAAAAAAATTTCTTTGTTGTTTTTATACCTACATAAAATTACTAGAGAGATGTCAGATCTCTTCTTAATTATATTTTTAAACTTCAAAAACGCAATCCAAATATAAAACCGCAAAAAAAAAATAAAATTTTTTTAATTATAAATTTGTTAAGAAAAAAACATTTCTTATATGTTTGTATTTTATTAATAAATAAATCGTTAAAAATTTGATAATTATGTTAATATTTTTGTGATTTATATATTTCTAGGGAACAAAAAAAAAAAAAAAACGTTGAATAAATAAATTAATAATAATATTTTTTATTTACTATGATCACCTTATAAAATTTTAGATATTAAACGCCAACAAAAATAAAATTAACTTATAACACCGAGATGAGGACGCTCGATCGAAACTAATTTCAATTTCATTTAATAAATAAAAATATATTCTAAAATCTAAACTGTTTTTCTTTTTGAGAGCTTTTCAGCTTGTGTAATGTATTTGCACTTGTTTGTACATACATATCTATATTCTAGCTTAATCTCTCTATATTTTATTTTACTTCTCTTTTGCCTTCTTTTTGAGAGAAGTAGAATTGCCATGCTATTTCTAATGAATCAAAATGGATTATAATTTGTTTCATCTAATTTTTCATGCCGAAAAATGTCCGTTTAATGAAAGCTTGATCGAGTTTAATGAAATTTTTTTCTGAGCATAATTAACATAATTATGGTTTAGTGTTTTAACTTTTTATAGATATCTGTAAAATGCAATAAAAAAATATAAAGATGCAGAAAGAATAAAAATATTGCTTAAATTTTATTTAAGCGGCAACACCTAATTGTATCTTAAATGAGAAAAACGTAATTTAAAAACATGATTATGATATTATAATATTGCACTGGCATTCAGCGCTCAGCATTCAATCATTAAATTCATTATAATAATATAATTAAACTAATTTAATTTAAAGTACTATGTAGCTATAGTATATCTATTATATATGTATATATGCAATTATTTAACATAAGTAAGAAATATGTTTTTGCATATTCAATAAATTTTTGAATATTTAACTTTACAGCAATGACTGATATTAAATTTTATTATACAAATTCATCATTATTTTAATCGTTAAACTAATATTTATTGAAAAAAAATATTTTTACCAGACATGTGTAATTTCTCACTGCAAAATAATTCCAATTTTTTTTAAAGAAAAAGGTGATAGAACAAAAAATTTCTTTTGTATTTCTTTCATCTTTAGTCCAGTATCTCCTAAAACGAAACATTTTTGAAATTTCTGTAGAAATTTCTTCGTAGTTTCACTAATTTTAGTTATTTTCTATTTTTTTTCTTATCCTTTAACAGTATTACAATATTTTATGGTTTTAAGAGAATACACACTATAAATACATAGAGCATAATTTTTTGATCAAAATTCAAACAAAACTTGAATTAAGTAACATTCACAGAAAATGTTTATAATTATGCGTGTTGTTACTTTTTACAAAATATATAAGTATGCTTGACTTTAATTTGAATTTCTTTTTAAATGTTGTACTTGCACAGAATCTTTACTTTCCTCCTTTGTTATTTTTTAAGGCCAAAATCGATCAGTATATTTTCATATTTTAATTTTCCGCTTCAATTGTAAACTTTTCCAAATATTTAACTAGCATCCTTTAATATATCTCATTCAAATCCTCTCACATTCATTTTGCTTCATCGTTTTCTTTTTTCATTTTTAAGCCATATATGTATGTACATTTCCATTATAATTTTATATTATGCGTGAAGAAATATGTACGTGTACCTATTTATAATGAAAAATAATAAAAAAAGAATATTTACTTAAGATTATGATAATGATATATACAAAAGATCTACCACTTCTATTGGTACATGTTTGTAAAATTGGAATATCAAAAAATACTATAATATCGTAATGTAATAGTATTTAAGTGATTCAATTTTTTAAAATTGTGTCAAATTCAATCAATTTTTGAAGTTCATTCTTGACAAGTATATTTATATATTGAACTAATCCTTATGATCCTTAATAAGAATTTGCAATACATATACAACATTATACGAATTTCCTGTATTAGAGAAAATTTTGTTTTTGCTATCGCACCTTTGTTACATGCGGAACATGTTGAAATTTATTAACATATTTAACTTATACTCGTACACTTCTAATGAGTTTATATGAATAATAAGTATTCCTATATTTTACAAATTCTTATATGTATTTTTATGTAAACATGGAGTTAATTTAGTATTTCACTAAAAAATCTTACTGCGTTTCATTATTAATTGAATTTGGTATTTATATTACATGGAATAGGCTTGTAATTAATATAAGTTTATTTTTTAATAAGATATCCAATATTTATAAATTTTTTATTCCATATATTATATGAAATTTGGTATAATATTTAAGACCTCACTGTAAAAATTTTTGTTATTCTTAAAATCTTTTTCATTTATGTACAATACATGCAGGACTATTATGAGAGGTACTTCATAGGAATAATATTTTTAAAAATCTTTACGAAAAGGTGTTTATATTTTGTATATAGCGAGTCTATATAATATATCTTTGTAATGTAGATTAAGTATTTTTATAAATTTGTTAAACTATTATAATAAATATGACAGAATAAGTATATAAAATTTTATAATATTTAATTTAACGATGTACTACATATGAAAGGATAAAATATAAAAAAGTTTTTTTGATATTTTTGTATTAAATAGCAATATATAAGAATGTAAGTACATAGTGATGAATAAGAATTTTTATAAATAATTATGTCTTTCTACAAAATAAGGTTCATTCCAGATAGATATATTTTTTACGCATTTTTCATCTATGAATTGAGTTCCAGAAAGAAAATTAGCCTGGGTGTTGTATGGTACACCAGAAAGAAACCCGCTTGTGAATTAAAAATAATAAAGTATTATGCATACTGTTTATATTTTAAGTTTAATATATTTAAATTTCAAAACCTAAAATACGTCTAAAGAAGTTTCTTAAATTAGAAGAACTATTATTTCATTTTTATTTTTGCAAAAAATTAAAGATAAAAAAATTATTTCTTATCTTTTAGTTAAAACTCTTTAATAAACTTATGTAAAATTCTTATCATTAAGAATTCTAAACAATATATTAAAAAGTTTTAGATTTTTTAAAATAAGAGGAAACTATATCATTATGAATAATATTTAAAACGAAAAAAAAAATATAAAAAGGCAAATAAAAAATAATTGGTAAGGATGTTAAAATAATTGTCTAGACTAAACTCATTTGGTCATTAGATTAAAAAATTTAAAAAAGTTCTAATTGCATTTTTATAAATGTTAATAATAAAATGATTCTTGTTTTGGTATCATTTTAGATTTTGGTAATAACATGAAATATTGATAAAGGATGTTCTTTTTATCAATCAAACTAGATTTAATTCAAAGCTTGGACGCATAAAATTATAATGGATATGATTCAAGTTCAAGTGTTATAATGGTTAAACGGCTTTAGTTTTAAAGATTTGACCAAATTATTTTGGTAGTTTGATGGCACTAACCCGAAGCTAAATTAAATTGATCGAGCTCAAATTAAATATTATTGGTTTTGTAACTACTATTGTTAATTGTAAAAGTTCAGCTAAATTTATTTTTGAGTTATCTCTGGGAATTGAACAAAGAAATATACTTATGTATATAATCAGTTGCAAATGAACATACGTTCTTACGGATATAGCAATGGCAAAACCAATTTTAATCCATTTTGTGAAATATTTTCATGTATTTGCTGTAACGCTATTTACACAATTTTTATAATGGTATTTCACAATTATATAGCGTTTGCTATATATAAAAAATATTTAAATTATATATAAAAAATATTGTGTATAAAAAATATTTAACTATCCTAAACTATATTTGAATTTTAAGTGTAACATCCTTTAGGGTACGAAACTCCATTATTTTCAAATCGATAATTTTGAGGAATTTAATTTTTTATGTACTAAAACGTCTAAAACTAAATAGAGGAAAAAAACTTCTATTTTTTCTCGACCCCTTCTTTTTTTGCATGCTATGGTGTGGCAACTGACGGTAAGTTCCATCCTGCTTAAAGTACGCGTGTATGTTAATTCTAGTGCTTGTATTATAAACATCGGTTAACACGGACGTTAACAGTATAGTTCCGCAAAGCCACTGCCAATTAATTTCCCTTCGGATCAAATGGGATTTATTTATTTATTTACAAACCCCATATACAAGAAATAAGCTTTATCGAAGTAATTTTCGGGAAGTAAAACGAAAAGTAAAAGTTTATTCGCTATAATGTTGACAACTGCACCAAATCCTGCATGAATTAAAAAAAAAAGCAAGAAAAAAAAACTGAAAAAAAAATTATTCGTTAAATTTACTAGAATTATTAATATATCTTATTTATACATACGTTCGTACATGCACGAAATAGATATGTATGTGTATATACATAAATATTGAAATTTGATATTTTTGTCCTTTTTAGAAATTCATTAACCTTGTAATTTATTCCTCTTTTTTTTTGGAGTGGTTTATCGCGGATTACGTTTCATTTATTGAAGCTCCGATAAATTTTTGGAAAAAAGAGAAAAATTTTAAGATTTTCATAGAAACTAATACTTTCTATAAATCGTTCTGCGTCAATTTTTTTAAAGTGATTAAATATATAAAAAGCAAAAGGAAAAAAGGGTAAATTTATAATAAGCTTAAATATGTAGGCAGATTTTCTACATGTATGTACATAAAATATTTGTGTGTGCGTGTATCTATAGCTTCTACTCTAAATATAGGAAAATTGAAATTTTTTATAAATCTTAAATCTAAATTTTAAAGCAATATAAGACCATATCTTCTTTTGTGGAATTTGGAAAACATTTGAAACAGATAGCAAGAATTGGGTTTTTTTCAACATATAGTTAAAGTTACACTTATGTATGTAACATATAAGAATGTTTTAAAAAGATGGCCTTATCCAACAATAATCCTCACAAAAATCATAAAAAATTTTATAAGGCATTTTTAAAAATTAATAAAAAACCTCAAAGCAATTAGAAAAAAAATTCGTGTCAAAAAAATTCAAAACAAAAAAAAAAATAATATTTTAATTAAATTGAATTTATAACAAAATTTTG